TCAGTAGTGGAGATGGGTTCCCCCATAGCCTCTCCAGTATTTATTATTAGCTGATTTCTTTATGATAGCCATTCTTTCTGGGTGACATGGTATCTCAATATTGTTTTGTTTTGTTTTGTTTTGTTTTGTTTTGTTTTGTTTTGTTTTGTTTTTTTGTTCCTCGAATGCTTTCAGGGCACTTTTGGCCAGCGGGAGAGTTGTGAGGTTCGAACTCCAGCAACCTGAGGCTGACAACTTTGTGGAAGCAGCCACTTAAAGGACTGAGCTAGGGCCAGGCCCCCCTCAATATTGTTTTAATTTGCATTTCTCGAATAGCCAGTAATGTGGAGCATTTTTTCAGGTATTTATTTGTCTCTTGTATTTCTTCCTCTTAGAAGTATGTATTCATCTCTGATGCCCATTTTTGGATTCGGTCTTTAATTTGCAGCCCTATTTTTTTTAATTCTTCATATATTCTTGATAGAAGATCTTTGAGGGGCCGGGGAGATGACTCAGTGGAATAAGCGCTTCCCTGGCAAGCGCAAGGGGCCTGAGTTCAATCCCCGGTTCCGCCAAAAAAAAAAAAAAAAGATTTGCTCATTTAAGCAAATTACCTCTTCTTCTTGGGCTGGTGAGATGGTTCAGTGGTCTAAAGCACCTATTTAGAACAAGCTTAGCAAATCACAGGGACCGCGGTTCAATCCCCCAGCACTACATGCCAGCCAGCCCCGCCCCCACACACACATAAATAAAATTTTAAAAAATTTTAAAAAAAAAGATCTTTCAGCGATTATTGGTTAACATTTTTTCCAAGTTTGTGGGTTGTCTTTTCACTCTGTTGGTGATTTCTTTTGACATTTAGAAACTTCTCAATCGGAGAAGGTCCCAGTTGTTGATTCTTTGAAGTATTTCCCACACAGTCTGATTTTTGTTTATGAACTGCCTGCCTACCCTTATGTCTTCAAGATTTCCACCTACTTTCTCTTCCACGATATTTAGTGTTTCAGTTTTAATGTTTAGATCTTTAATCTGTTTTGACTTTAGTGCATGGCAATAGACCAAAGTCTATCTTTAATTTTGGCATGTGGAGAGCCAGTTTTTGTAGCACTATTTGTTAAACAGGGTATCTTTCTTCTAGTGAACATGTTTGACCCCTTTGTCAAAGATAAGATGGCTGAATGTGTTTGTAGTTGTATCTGCATCTTCTAATCTGTTCCATAGGTCCTTGGGTCTGTTTTTTTGTCAGTACTATGCTGATTTCATCACAATAGCTTTGTAGTATGATTTCAGTTCTGGGATTACAATGCCTTCTCTTGCTGGACCTTTGTCATATCTTTCTTCTGGCATCTACTTATATCCCTTTTAGTGGAGAGAGGATCAATGGCAGTGTGATTGGGTGGTCACAGTTTATATGAGGTCAGTAGAAGTTCAATGAGGGGACAATGTAAATGCCACCAGATGGGTTGAAGGACATCCTTTTAAAGCAGAAATGGGAACTTCAACCCAGTTCGGTCAGGTTCTTGATGTCTTCTTACAGAAAAGAATTTCAGTGCATGTCAGTGTGATGAACAGGATGATTTGTTATGCAGTTAGAAAGTAAGAGAAGATATAGCCATGACTTCTGCTTGAAAAGCCAAAGGGGACACTTTTGATGGAGATCAAACTGACCCATTAACAAAGGGAAGACAACAGCTTTTATGGAGTTACTGGGGTGTCCTAGGGTCTAGTTGAACTAGTTCTGGCTTCATAAGGTGGTGGCTCTAGAGACCTCCCTATTGCTGCAGGGCCAGTCTAGTCTTCCTGAGATGATTGCTTCTGTGTGGGGGCACAGGAATATGAGTTGTGCTAAAATCCAATATGACCATGGATTTAGGGCAAGGACTAGAGACTTCTATCTCCCCTTTGGTACATGGGTGCTCTCATAAAGCTCTTATCGTAATGTTCTATACAGGCTAACCAATGTTTTTCCTCATACCCTAGGTCCCTGTTCAGGTGTCACATGTCACACCCAGCTCTTGAAGTTCTCAGGGTGAGGATAGTGGAAGAGGAAGAAAAAGGACCAGAATCAGAATACAGAAAAACTGAGGCCAGATGCATCACTTTCTCCTGATGAGAGAAGAAGGAAGCAAGAAGAAAGAAGGCAAAGGAGAGAGAGAGGGAAATCGAGGGAATTATATAACTTTTAAATACCATTATGGTATTTAGCTATTCCTGTCTTTGCTCCCATTGTCAAATCCCCAGCTGTCCACATATAGCTAATCTCACATGGATTGCTAGGATACCGCTGATCGTGTCATGATCTGTACTTCCTGACTGTGTATTTTGGTCCTCTCTAAGAAAGAACCAACTTTCACTGTTTATATTTCATTGGCTCCTGGATACTGACCTTTTAAGGCTGTTTTATGTTACCTTGCCCACCCACTCTACATGGCTCATTCCATGGGTCAATAATAATAATGTTTCACAATTAGATGTCACATTATGGTGCTTAGACAAAGAACTTCAGTTCTTCCCAAAAATTTTACACATGATTGGGTGGGAGAGTCTACTCTTGAACAAATGACCTCAGCACTTGAACATCTCAGGCAAAAGCAGTTTGGGAGCATTATGGCAGCCACAGCAGCCACCATTGCCTTAACTCATTCTAACCAAGCCCCAAACCATGTATGGATATATTCAAAATGTCACTCCTGAGCCAGCGAGATAGCTCAGAGAACTAAAGCACCTGCTTGGGCAAGCTAAGGCAAGCACAGCATCCGTGGTTCAATCCCCGGCACCACATGCCACACCAGCCCTGCCCCCAGTGAAGGCTGAGTGGACCAGAGTCCCAGCCTAGTGGCACACACCTATAGTCCCAGTGCTGGGGAGGCTGAAAGCAGGAGGATCACTATAAGTCCGAGCTTCATAGTAAGACCCTGTAACAACCAAATACATTTAAAAAAAAAAAAGGAATTAAAAAAAAATTGCTCCTGAGCTCTTAACTCAAATTTATATTGATAAGAAAACTTCACAAAAACATGATGCCCTGCAGGCAGTTGTCAGATGGATGAGCAAATATCAGCAAGCTCTGTAGACACAGGCTCAGCTCTGCTGCCAGCTACCATTCCGTGTGCATCACTCCTACTCTGTTCAATCATTCTAAGTGTTGGGAAGACAGGCAGAGAAATGACAGGTCTTCAGGCCTGGCTTCAAGCCCAACTTTATAAGTTGTTTTTTTTTTTTTTTTTTTTTTTTTTTTGCGTGGAACTGGGGATTGAATTCAAACCCTTGCACTTGCCAGGGAAGCGCTTATTCCACTGAGCTATCTCCCTGGCCCCTATAAGTTTTAAATGGATCCTGCAATATTAGATAGTCTCAATGGTATCACCTATTGGCTAAATCCCAAAAGCGGTTTCTTGACCTTCACATTTGGACTCTTCACCAAGCCCAATATCCCTCCTCCCTTCACTCTGTCCCTTTTTCCAAGATCCATGTATAAAACAAAAAAAGGGGGACGTGGGAGGAAGGATTAGCCAGAGGTCTGTATGAGGTGGATAAGGAGAGGTAAGTGACTTTTGGAGCATATGCCCAAAACCTCTGGGAATTCATAGTCAGAGATTAAAAGATACCCTACAGGGCCTAAGTCCAAGTAGGATCAAACACACTGCCTTAAGAAACAAAGGCTCTGGCCTCTAGCCTCTCCATACTCTTATCTGTCATTTAGATTGGACCCAAGGTTGGTCATGTAACAGAACACCCTGCCCATCCTGTCTTTCCCTTGCCCTTTATACGAGTCCCTTCCCAGATGCCTTTTTTCTTTGAGCCCTGCTTCCAGGTTCTAGCAGTAAAAGGCACAGAGCTATCGAGTTGGAGCTGTCCTTTGAGACTTTCTCATTCAGATGGGTCTCTATTCATAGCAGCCCCTTTGGCCCCTCTTGGACTATGGACTGGAAAAAAAAACTCATCTTTCTGTCAGAAAATCATTTCAGAATAAACGTGGCTGTTTTTACCAATTTCTCAGAACATGTGGAAACCAAAGTTTACCAAGAATTAACTTACTTGAAGTTGAAAAATAAATCAGAGATCTAATAAGATGTGAAACTTCCCAGTCATGGATGTGTTGTTAGAGGGCCAGCCTTAGCTAAGGACAGTAGAGGAAGAAAGGAGGGTGAAGGCCAGGTCCCTCTGGGCCATGGGAGTTGTCTGAGCTTCTGGAAGTAGTGCAAACATAGCCATTCCATTCATGCACTGTGAGCTGACAGCCACTGCATGTCCTGTGACACCCCAGCCACAACTCCTTGCTCATGACCAGAAGCAGCAACCCTGCCATCCATCTCTTAACCCCTCCTGGGAACACACTAGCAAATACAGCACGTGCTCCACAAATGCCATAGAATTCTAAATGTGGGCAGAAACAAGAGCCCTTCCAGGGCAAACAACAAAATCTAAAGTCCGTTTTTACTGATGGGGAAACTGGGGCACAAAGATTAAATCCTGCCCATCAAAGCAATTAAACTATAGCTGACCTTGGATTTCTTGCATCTCTACCTGGTGCCCCTCCTGGGACGATGTCACTCCATTTGAAAAGCGGCTGGCTATTTACTGTTGACCTCAAAAAAAAAAAAAAAAAGATATTTGAGGTCCACTTGTCTAAAACCCCACGCTGTCACCTCTGGCAAAAGTTTTCACCATTTGCTTGTGGCACAGCAGAAACAGAACAGTACCATCCCCTAAGGTTCTCCAACATAACACCCTGAACAGATCCAACACAGAGCTCTGGCTAAATCACTCACCGTCTGACTATGTGAGGAAAATGAACATTCCAAAGCTTTTGCCAACAGGTACTGAGTGTCAAATGTCAATACTGTGCTTGTGTTTTTGAGACCACATTATACCACTGGAAATATATTTCCCCTCAGACTTTTAGTACCTAATAACTATGTACCCCATCTAAAATTTATGCCACACTATGGTCCACACTGATTACATTTTTTAAGACACATTTATTCAGCATTATGATCAGACTATTACATTTAGCAATCAACAGCCTGAGTGCAAAAAAAGGTCTACATTGAAACCCTTTGTTGGAATGCTTTACACTTTCCACAGAACAGAAACTAAAATAACCTGTTATACAACTGGTCACAAATACAGTCCTCGAGTTTTTTACCCATACGCATGAGTATTGTCTAAAACATGTCTTCTTTGTAGCAGCTAGGCCCTGCCACCACTGTGCTTGGCTGAGTTCACAAATCTGTTGTAACCTGTAGCTTCCCTGTCACTTCTCTGGCTCTCCTCTCCTGCTAAGCTTTGTTTCCTGGAAGTGTTTAAAACCTTCTGCCACTGCCATAGCTACTGCTGCTGCTGGAGCCACCATAGCCACCTTGATTTCGTGGTGTGGTAAAATATTGGCCTCCACCACTGTAGGGCCCAGAGCTTCTGCCTCCAAAGTTTCCTCCCTTCATGGGTCCAAAATTTGAAGACTGACTGTTGTAATTGCCAAATTCGTTATAGCTTCCACCACCTCCATAATTGCTTCCACTACCACCGCCAAAGCCGCCTCCGCCTCCTCCGTTGTTACAACTGTCATGGCTGCCACTCCCGCCATAGCCACTGCCCTGGTTTCCATAACCCTGTCCACCACTTCCATAGCCTCTGCTTCCTCCAGAGTAACCAGGGCCGCCTCCTCCATAGCCACCATCATTACCAAATCCATTGTAGCCATCTCCACTGCCACCATAACCACCCCCACCACGGCTGCCACCAAAGCCACCTCGACCACTGAAGTTTCTTCCGCGACCGAAACTGTCATTGCCACCAAAACCTCCTCCACGACCACCACCAAAGTTTCCAGAACCACTTCGACCTCTTTGGCTAGATGAAGCACTAGCCATCTCCTGCTTGGACAGGGCTTTCCTCACTTCACAGTTGTGGCCGTTCACAGTGTGGTATTTTTGAATGACAATCTTATCCACAGAGTCATGGTCATCAAAGGTTACAAAAGCAAAGCCTCTCTTTTTTCCACTGCCTCAGTCAGTCATAATTTCAATCACTTCGATTTTTCCATATTATTCAAAATAATCTCGTAGGTGATGTTCTTCAGTATCTTCTTTAATGCCACCAACAAAGATCTTCTTCACCGTTAAGTGGGCACCTGGTCTTTGAGAATCTTCTCTTGAGACAGCTCTCTTTGGTTCCACAACTCTTCCATCCACTTTGTGTGGGCTTGCATTCATGGCTGCATCCACCTCCTCCACAGTGGCCTAAGTGACAAACCCAAAACCCCTGGAAAGCTTGGTGATTGGGACTCTTATTACCATGCAGTCTGTGAGTGTTCCCCATTGCTCACAATGGCTCCTCAGACTCTCATCAGTTGTTTCAAAGCTCAGCCCCTCAATGAAGAGCTTCCGTAGCTGTTCAGGCTCCTTGGGAGACTCTGACTTAGACATGATGGCAGTCGGAAGAGAGCCTGATGATGCTTCTTCCGCGGTGTCCACCAGCAGAAAAGTCACACTGATTATATTATAGTAGGGCCTTGAAAAGGGAATTTTTCATCACGAAGAAGAATTAATGCCTTTCCCATAGGACTGGACCAGACACTATGAGAGTGTATTGTCAGATGTCAAGGCTGTCCCTTGATTCTTGCCTGGTCCTCTTCCGCTGTTACACAGGGTGCACCTTGAGGCCCTTGCCAGGCTCATTAGCACAATCCTGGACTTTCTGCCTCCTGAGTTACATGAACTTCTTTTTTTTTAATTTTTTTTTTTCCGGAACCAGGGATTGAACTCAGACCCTTGCACTTGCCAGGGAAGCGCTTATTCTACTGAGCCATCTCCCCAGCCCAAACTTCTTTCCTTTATAAAATATCCAGTCTCAGATATTCTACTACAGCAACAGAAAATGAAACGACAGTATCCTTACTAGAATTCTGACTTAACCTCAATGTTCTAGAAATAGCACATTGTCTCCTATAACCTAATATTATTATTATTTTTTTTTCAAAACTGGGGATTGAACTCAGGCCCTTACACATGCCAGGTAAGTGCTTATTCTACTGAGCTATCTCCCCAGCTCCAACCTGACATTATTTATATATCCTATTACCTGACAATTTTAAGAACCACCCCTAAATATATAAAGACAAGGCCATTTACCTTGGTTGAAGCTGTAGGATGTTAATAGCTATAAGGAAAAAGTAAAGTAGGTTTCTTTTCATTTATGATTTTAGCCTATAAGTTTAAGCATGAGTGTAAAATTGTGAGTTAAAAGGTACAGTCATAGGCTGGCCAGATAGCTCAGCAGATTAAAGCATCTGCTTAGGCAGAGCACAGTGGCTGGAGTTCCATGGAGTGCCATGCCCACCCCGCCCCTGGGGTGTACTGAGACTGGGATTGATCCTGGGTATGGTGGCGCACACCTGTAATCCCACAGCTTGGGATGCTGAAAACAGGAGAATCACTAAGAGTCCGATCTATGCACTAAGACCCTGAGGACTTTGTAGATCCTCTCCTAAATACACATACACACACACAAATGCAATCACTATCTTCAACTTGCTTTGAGTATGGCAACCATTAAGAGGCTGCTGCAGTTAGGTGTGTTGACACAGATCTACAATTCCAGCACTGTGGGAGGCCAAGGGAGAAGGACCTTAGTTCAATATCAGCCTAGAGATTTAAAAAAAAAGGACTGGAATTGTAATTCAGTGTGAAGGCCCTGGGTTCAGTCTCTCTCTCTCTCTCTCTCTCTCTCTCTCTCTCTCTCTCACACACACACACACACACACACACACACACACACACAGCTATCTTATTCCTTGCTATTTCAATGCTATAAATGAGAAGTAGATCGACTTGGGGCCAACAATGTTTAGAAGTTAGGGTACACCTGTGCTGGATGGTAGCTAAAGAAAGAATGCGCACCAGGAAATCTTTCTGCCCCCTTCAGGCTCCCCTTAGCCAGTGGTGTCCACTGTGACATAGGTGGACTCTGCAGCACCCCCCATAGGGGGCGAGAAACAGCTGCAGAAATCTCCTGAGCTGACAGGGGAAAGACAGCTACATGAAATGAGGCTGCAAATCAGGGGGTGAATACAAAGCCTACTCCTTGGGGAAAGAGATTTATCTATATATACAACTGTACTGTGCATTTCTGCTGCTCTAAGGAAAGGGCAATTAATTTGTCTTCCTTTCTCAATTGTCCTTTTTCGCTTCTTAATCTCTTATACATCTCTTTCTTTCTTCTTCCAATTTTGCATGCATACATCTGGTAACATGAACAACTAGTTGGAAGATAACACCGCATTACAATAGATATTATAAATTCATATTATTTTGTTAAGTGAAATTTTGTAACACTCGTAATTTTTCTGTTTTAATACTATTTTGTACTCTCTTTAAAAAAATAAATTTAAGAAAAAAAAACAAACAACTGTATTCCTTCCCCAATTTCTTTTCCATTTCCAGGGGTTCATTTGGTCTTTCTTTTAATTTAATTTATTTATTTGTTTGTTTCTTTGAGAAAGGGTTTCACTATGCAGTTCAGTTCAGGTTGACCTCGAATTCACTTTGTAGCTCAAGCTGGCCTTGAACTTGAAGCAAACATCCTGCCTCAGCCTCCTGAGTGCCGGGATTACAGGCATGCACCGCCACATCTGGTTCAATTAATTTCTAACCTATCTCCCCACTATGATTCTGAAGAAGTTACAAATGTGTGACTTTTTTCTTTCAACCTGGAAAGACACTTGAATATTTCTACAACTACCTCTAATGGAAGAAATAATAGTAAAAGAACCAAAGACCAGCTAGCTAGATGCCTCATTCTTTGGTCACAAATAGCCAAAATATGAAGCAGATTTCAGTCCCTTGTACTCAGGACGGGATTCTCTCCCCTCAACACTGGGGTCTGTGTAATTGCAGCCCTATCTTGGAATGAATATATTCCCTTTTACTTCATTTTCCCCAGTTAAAGACTGTGTCCACTGAATGTACAATAGATATTATGGAATAGGAAAAAAATGTTCAAATGTGAAGGGAAACTTGGTAGGAGGAGGGGAAATGGAAGGAAGGGAAAAGAAAAAAATGAGGAAGAAAATATGGAGTGGCACATGCCTGTAATCCTAGCATTCAGGAGGACTGCTGCAAGTTTGAGGCCAGCCTGGGCTACACAGTGAGCTCAAGGTCAAAGCCATATAGTGAGACCCTGTCTCAAAAAGATTAAAAAAAAAAAAAAAAAAAGGAAACAAAGCTTTTGTAAATAAGGGGGGGAGGAAGGGTTGAAGGGAGGGCAGGAGAATGGAGAAAAAGAAAAGCAAGTTATATCATGTCCAGGTACAAATTCCCTATTATGAATGTGAAATTTACCTATAAAATTTTTAATTAAAAAGTAAAAACTGTGCTGAGGATATAGCTTAGTGGCATAAATGCCTGCCTTGCAAACACAAGGTCCTATGAGTTTGATCCCTAGTACCAAAAAATTAAATTAAATCAAAAAGCTATGTCCAGGCCACAATATATTCATATAGAGCATTTAGTACCCAACCTACTTATTCAATGCTTAATTCCCAAGTCGCTTATTATTGTCTGTTTCTTCCACACCAGTCACTAGCATCCTGCAGTGCAGGCTCAGCTCCTTCTGGCCCCTTATCAGTATGGCCCTCCAGTAGGAACAGAGCAGCATCTGTGTCTCCATGGGAAGGCACTGGGGGACCAGAAACCAGCTCAGCCGCTGCTGTGGAGAGACCAAAAATGAGAAGATGGGGGAAAAAAAAGCATGAAACTCATGAGAATAAGAATTTAGGGCTTTCACCAGTTTGCTTATTGCTTTATCCCTAGAACCTAGAATAGTACCTGTCACTTACTAGGCTTCATATTCTTATTAAATAAATAGCTAAGGGGCCAGGGAGGCATCTCAGTAGAATAAGCACTTGCCTGGCACGTACAAGGGCCTGAGTTCAATCCCCAGTTCCACTAAATAAATAAATAAATAAATAAATAAATAAATAGCTAACTTTTCCTATAAAAGTACTGTTCCCTCTGTGAGAAATCTGTATAGAAAAAAATAGCACATAAAAATCAAGTATGCATAAAATATTACATAAAGTACAATGCCAACCCCAGGAGTGATTTTTTTTTTTTAATGTATTTAGTACAGGGCCTCATTCTGCAGCTCGGGCTCATGGTGATCCTCTTGTTTTCAGCCTCCCTAGTGCTGAGATTACAGTCGTGCATCACCACACCCAGACTCAGTGGCTCACTTAGCAGCATGTGGTGCCAGGGATCAAAACCCGGTCCCTGCGCTGGCCTATGCAGGTATTGAGTCTGGTGAGCTATCTTGCCAGCTCTCCTGGGAGTGATTCTAACAGTGTAACATGAAGTGTTGGGAAACCCAGTTTCTACCTAGTGGATGTACAGTTTTAGTTCTGTTTCTAGGCAAGATACTGGCTTTCCCCATT